GTCGTGGGGTTTTGTACCCCTTGTGGGGGTCCCCGGGGCTGTTGTGGCCTTGTGGGGTCGCTGGGGTGTTGTAGCCCTGCTGTGGGTCGCTGGGGCTTTGCAGCCTCTGTGGGGTCGGGGGGTGTTGTCACCCTTTGTGGGTCGCTGGGGCTGTTGTCAGCCTCTGGTGGGTCCTGGGGCTGTTGTCAGCCTCTGTTGGGGTCACCGGGGGCTGTTGTCACCTTTTTGGGGGGGGTCGTGGGGCTGTTTCAGCCCTGTGGGGTCGCGGGGGGGGCTTTTGTCAGCCTCTGCTGGGGCGCTGGGGCTGTTGTCAGCCTTTGCTGGGGGGTCGGGGGGGCTTTTGTCAGCCTTTTGCTGGGGTCGCGGGGGCTGTTGTCACCCTCTCGGGGGTCCTGGGGCTGTTGTCAGCCCTCCTTGGGGTCGCTGGGGCTGTTGTCCCCCCTCTTGTGGGTCGCTGGGGCTTTTTTGTCCCCCCCTTTTGGGGGCCCTGGGGCTGTGCAGCCTCTGTTGGGGTCGCTGGGGCTGTTGTAGCCTCTGTTGGGGTCCGGGGGGCTTTTGTCAGCCTTTTGTGGGGTCGCTGGGGCTGTTGTCAGCCTCTGCTGGGGTCGCGGGGGGCTTTTGTAGCCTCTGCTGGGGTCGTGGGGCTTTTTGTCACCTCTGCTGGGGTCGGTGGGGTTGTTGTCACCTCTGCTGTGGGTCGGCGGGGCTGTTGTCAGCCTCTGCTGCGGGTCGGTGGGGCTGTTTTTCCCTGCCTTGCGCGGGCGGCGGGGGGGCTGTTGTCAGCCTCTGCCGGCGGGTCGGCTGGGCTGTTGCGCCCTGCTGCGGGTGGGCTGGGCTGTTGTCTGCCTCGCTGGGGTCGGCGGGGGGGCGGGTTGTCAGCCTTTTGCTGCGGGTGGTGGGGCTTTTGTCACCTCTGCTGCGGGCGGCTGGGGCTGTTGTCAGCCTCTGCTGCGGGTCGGCTGGGGCTGTTGTCAGCCTCTGCTGCGGGTCGGCTGGGGCTGTTGTCAGCCTCTGCTGCGGGTCGGCTGGGGCTGTTGTCAGCCTCTGCTGCGGGTCGGCGGGGGGGCCTGTTGTCAGCCTCGCTGCGGGTCGGCTGGGCTTTTGGGGGGGGTGGGGGGGGGGGGGGGGTCCCCTCTGCGGGTCGGCTGGGGCTGTTGTCAGCCTCTGCTGCGGGTCGGCTGGGGCTGTTGTCAGCCTCTGCTGCGGGTCGGCTGGGGCTGTTGTCAGCCTCTGCTGCGGGTCGGCTGGGGCTGTTGTCAGCCTCTGCTGCGGGTCGGCTGGGGCTGTTGTCAGCCTCTGCTGCGGGTCGGCGGGGGCTTTTGCCCAGCCTCTGCTGGGGGCGGCGGGGGCTGTTGCCCAGCCTCTGTTTGCGGGTCGGCTGGGGGCTGTTGTCACCTCTGCTGGGGTCGGCTGGGGTTTTGGCTTTTCGGGGCCCTGGGCTTTGTCCCCTGTTTGGGGGTCCGTGGGGCGGGGATTGAGCAGCCCCCCTTTTTGGGGTGGCTGGGGGTGTGACCCCCAGCCTCCGCTGGGGTAGGCTGGGGCGGTGTGAGCGAGCCTCTGCTGGGGGTGGGCTGGGTGGTGTTTACCTGGAGTTTCCCTGGAATTTACCGGGAGAGATTTTCCGGGGGGGTAAACCCCCCCCAGCCCGGGCGTGACCAGGCCCCTGGTGGATCAAGCTGATCAACCAGGCTGTCACTGCTGGCTGCACGCAGACCAACGTACGAGCCCAAAGCCCCGGGTGGGCAGGGAACCGACTTTTTGGTCTTGTCCTGCCAGCTTGAAGATGCCAGGGGGCTGTTTGGGAATCCCCCTTTGTTCAACTCCTCCCAGCATAATGTCTCGAGCCCCCCCGACACTTATTGATGGTCCTTAACTGTAGTAAAACCCCGCTTTTCATTGGGGATGTTCATCGTCTGCCACTCTTTTGTTTTGAGGGGTGATTTTCGTGTGCAAGTTCGGGACTTTTCTCTAGGATTTTTTCCCGGTGTATATAATCTTATATCCCCGCCCGCGTTCCAGGGAAACAGGTTCAAACCTCAACGTTTGGAATTTAGGGGTTTTATTCCCTTTTGCACGCCGTGAAAGGGTTTTCCCGTACATTTTCTAGGTCAGCAATTTTTACCGCCTTTTAAAGGTGCTGTTAGTGTGCAGAATATTCCGGCCTAGATAAAACAAGTGACCGAAGAGTGTATCATGGTTTTGGCATCCCTGTTTTGAGGTTTCATTACCATCTTGTCATTTTTTTTTAGCAGATGCGATTGATACAATGTTATGGTCCTTGAAAGTGAATCCTCTGACATACACTCCCCCGGGCTTTGACGTTGGTGTTTCGCTCTATTTTGTGGGCCAAAATTTTTTTTGTACTTATGAAGATTAATTTCCCTTTTGTTTACCATATTGAGTAATTGAAATTTCTCATCGTTGAACTTATATTTTTTTCTGCGCCCCCGGAGATTTGGTTGATGTCCCCCTGGAGCCTTGCAGGTCTGCAAAGGAAGACACTGTCATGCAGATTGGGGGTCACTGCAAAGGAAGACACGGGGCGTGGCACATCCTTGTCTATGCAGATATGAGGATGAGGGAACAAGATGGGGGCGAGCCTTGTGGGGCGGGGTGTTTTACGGCCTCTGTGTGGGGCGGTGGTGTGAGCGAGCCTTGCTGTGGGTCGGGTGGGGTAGCGAGCCTCTGCTGGGGTCGGCTGGTGTGAGCGAGCCCCTGCGTGGGTCGGCTGGTGGAGCGAGCCCTGCGGGTCGGTGGGGTGAGCGGCCTCGCTGGGGTCGGCTGGTGTGAGCGAGCCTCTGCTGTGGTTTGCTGGTGTGAGCGAGCTCGCTGTGGGTCGGTGGGGTGAGCGAGCCCCTTTCTGTGGGCGGCTGGTGGACAGCCCCCTTTTTGGGGGGGGGGAAGCCCCTTTGGGGTTTGTGAGCCTCTGGGGGTCTTTTGGGGTTGGGGGGCTAATTGTAGCCTTGAAGGGGTCAGCGGGTGTCGAAGCCCCCCCCCCGTGTGGGGCTGTCGAGAGCCCCCCCCCTGCGGGGTGTCGAAGCCCCCCCCCCCCTGCCGGGGTTTACCGGGGTCAACTGCAGGCCGAAGGGTCTTAAATCCGTTGCAAAAAAAATTTTGGGGTTTGGTTAGCCGTATCTAAAACGGGCAACAGTGCAAGGTTTTTTCAATAAAGCAAATAGAATTCATGTTCATACAAGAAGTATAAACGGGGTCCTCTGGTTTTTCTTTAACTCTATTGTTACATTGTTCGGGCCCATTGGTTATGCTGCACAGTTCTGGTCACCATTTTACAGATTGGATGTACGTACACGTAAATGCGCTGGGAAACTTGCAATGAAAGTTGACAAAGTTGATCCCATGTATCAGAAATCTTTTCCATGAGGATGGACTAAGGGGCCCGAACTGACTCGAAAAGGCGTTTGAATTAGGGGGGATATAATAGAGGTGTGAAAATGGGAATAAATGAATGGGATGCAAATAACTTGCTAAAAATATCTAACCAAGGCAGGAGTCACAGCAGTGGTTTCAAATTGGAAAATACAAGATTCAGAAAGGGTAAGGGAAAAAAAATGGTTTGGTAAAACTAGTTGTGGATGAGTAGGTCTGAAGCAGGGCTGCTTCCTTAAGTGGATGTGGCTTGGACCTGACTGACTTAGGTCAGTAGGTGACTAGGACCTTCCTAGCATGGGATAGTAGGCCTGCTGCAGTACTCCTTATGTTCTTACAAGGCCTTGTAAAAATGATACATACCTTTATCACTTTAACCTGCTTTGATGAATGACAATTAGCTAATTTTTATTGTTAACACTTGATGCAGTTTCTATAGTTTCATATTTCTGGTAACTTGTATAACATTTAAAACTACATTTATATTTAGTATTAGGTATGTACAACTGTATCTGCTACGGTACCCTATTAAATGAGAAGTCGACACATTTACCATATACGTAAATTGCCCCCATTATTAATAAATGGTATGATATTGCCATTTCATTGCAGTACTTGTCCAGCCAGTCATTTTATCCAAGTTGACCTACACATTCACTGCTTGTTATCCTTGCAAAATTCTGCATATTACAGCATCCATAACTTAACACTTCCCAACGTAATTGTGTCCAGCACGGAGGCAGATAATGAGATTTGCGTCCATTAGTTTAATATGGTCTATAGTTTCCTTGGTTTAAAAAAATTTTTGGCAGCATATTTTTCATTATGTAAACCTATAATTTTATTGTACACCTATATTATATCCCCATTTCAGTTAGCCTTTTAAAGTCAATTCAGAACTGTTTAGTTTTGTAGGAGACATTCCTGGTCCAGGGATTTTTCAGTCCTTTTTATCATGTATTTGTCATTCTGTAATAGACCTAGGGGTGTGTTGTAGTTAAAGAGGTCTTTGTTAAATCATCTAAGTTTTTTTTCCCTTTTTTCTCCCACAAAAGGAAATTTACTTTTTTTTTATCAGCCCTAGTAAAGGGCCCAACCTTGCTATGTATTTAATTAACCTTAAATTTACAAACCTTCAAAATAGAAAAAAATTTGATTTAGAAGGGACTTTTTTAAAGCACTTGTTTGCAAAAGGGTTAAAATGTGGATCAAAAGCTAGTATACTATTATTTTAAGCAAAAACTTTGGGTAGTTTTTAAAAAAGGCTTTACGCACAAATGGGAATGGTTGGTATGTAAAAATAGCCTCTCATGTCCCCGTAGGGAGTCTTTATTCTTTATGTTTTTACTTGTGTAGTAAAACCCGTAATTCAAAACCATTAGGGGGAACTAATTTTACCATTTTTTTTGAAAAAAAGTGTTAGGGGCGGCTTTTTAGCAAAAAAACTTACATTTGGGTTTAACAATCCATAGTACTTTCTAAGAGCGCAGGGTTGTAAAAGTATGTCCAACCATATATTAAAAACTAGAAATTTAAATTTTGCAGTTTAAGTGTGGACTTTATATGGTTTTATAAATGTGTATAAATTGTAGGTTTTAAGGTTTTTGTTTTAATTCAGTTTTATTTCTTTTTAGACCTGGGCACCACTAACATGTCCGAGGAGCTGCAAGCAGATTTTGAGGGTGGTGATTCGGGTGCATCTCAGGTGTATCCCGCCCAGTGCTCCTCTCTTCGCAAAAATGGACATGTTGTGATCAAGGTAAATTTAGTCCCTTTACTGTGAAATGTCCCAAAATTAAAAATACAGTGGAACCCCGAGTTTCGAACTCATCGACTATCAAACGTTTAGTTTCAACTGATTTTTTCACACCAATTTTGTCCAGAGTATCAAACATGCCCCATGTTTCGAACCGTGTACCAGACCTGTCTGCCTGCCCCGCACCTGCGCGCCTCCCCGCTCAGGCATCGTGAGTCAGTCTGGCTTTTTCTCGAGTGAACATTACATTATATACTAGGCATTTTAAGTGCCTTAGTGATAAAATGCATATACAGTACACTCATTACTTACCTTAAAATATTTTTAATCTTAATGGTCTTAATATAGGGTGCAAGGTGAATAGTAAGGTAGGCAGGTATCAGTGTGGTAGGTATGTAACCCCCATGTTCATGAGTTTTGTAAACAAACCAGTTGTTACCAGCCTGGAAACGAATGCTTTTTGTTCACTTCGTCAAGCCGACTGGAAAAACATTTCGTATTTGTTAATTTATGTTTCGTAGTGTGTTTATTATGTAATTTTGAAAAAATATCATAGATGGATTAAGCAAAATGTCCATAGTAACGTTTTACATGACAATGCGCCTTGGCGATTATTATTGTTATTATTAATATGGCATCTTCATGACTAATAACACTATTAATGATTTTAATGTGTTCCTGCATGCCAGCAGAGGTGCAAGTTGTGGAGTTTAAAGCCTGGCTTCTGCAAGGTATGTAAATGGTGTACATACACTATTTCATTTCTACATTATGGTTTTCTTATCAAAGTGATCTAATGCAGTTAGCATTACAAACTCCATTTTCACGTCTGAAGAAGGAAAGAATGGGAAGACATTTTCATAGCTGGAGCAAGAATGCCCACGACTGCATCCTCCCCTGCCACCACGTACGTAATGACATACATATTTTATTCATTCTAGAGTGTATATCAGGTTTTTGTTATTTATATTTTTTGTCACATTAGATAAATTGATAGATAAATAAGCTGTACAGTTGATAATGGTGTAATATTAAGTACTAGTTTGTCTATGCCTCCTGACAGCGGGAACGAATTAATTGGATTTACGTTATTTCTGATGGGAAGTACTGCTTCGAGTTTCGAACGTTTCGACTTTAGAACTAGCTCCTGGAATGGATTAAGTTTGAAACTCTGGGTACCACTGTACTAGTCTTTTTCTGAAGGGTAATGACATCAGAAGTCCCTTGTTTTATAGAAAACTTGTGTAATTACACAGGCACATGGTTAGCAGTCTGGGTGCAATTTGCATATCAGCGCTTTTGCCCAGAGTCTTGTTATAAGCCAATTCCATTGCTCAATTAGACCAAGTTCTTAGTTATTTCACTATTGTGCCTTACGTTCTATTGACTGAGCACAAGAAATTGCATTCAACTAACAAAACTACCCAATATATAGTGCCAAGAAGCTGGTAATTCACCCAATTTTAAAAATGAAAAATAGCAGTTTTAACCTTTTCAGGGTCCATACCCTCGATCTGAAACATGTCCACAGGGTCCAAGAATTTTCAAAATAATATTTTTATTTTTTCTTATGAAATGGTAGAGAATCTTTTTCTGAAGATAATAAAACAAAAAATACGAAATTGGATGGAAAATTGACAATTACGCTATTTGTGAATTTTGCTGCATCAGCGATATTTACCCATCAGCGATTTTTGCCCACTTTGACTCCCATTTTAAGCCAATTACATTATTCCAGTCTACCAAATTCTTAGGTATTTCATTAGTATTACTTCTGTTTTTTGATTGAGCACAAGAAATCGCCCAATCAGCTATTTCAGCTACCCAATAAAGTGATCGGAATTTGGTAATTTGGCCAATTTCACAGTTGAGAATATCCCAATTTCAAAATAGGGTCCAGAATAAACAATGTAGGTATTCCTGGTACTAAAATAGAATTTCCCCTGTTTATTAGTTGTTTCTGGGCTTTGCAAATAAATTGCACTTAGATTTTTTGTTCATGTCATGAATTTTTATTCACTCCAAGAAATAGAAGATATACTGTTATGCAGTATTGTAATAATTGTGTAAATATCAGTGCATTCTTGAATGCACATTAGATCCACCAGCTGATGTGTATTGGACATGTGGTGTGATTTGTTTACTCCTGAACATCGGCAAAAATCAAACATTTCCATTATGTTGAGCTCAATTTCAAGCTATTTTGAGTACTAAAACCAATCAAAATCGTCTTTTATTTCTGTAACACATCTTACATTCTATCAAATGAGACCAAGGAACACGAATGCAACTGTAAAACCATATGAAAATACACTGCAGTCACCGTTTTAATCCCAAAATATGGTAGCAGTTTTCTCATGCACTGTGCAGCAGGATTTTTTTTTTTAATATGGTGCACACCTAGCACAGATGCATTCTCTCATATCTAGGCCCAAATTTACCGCTCACAGCTTATCTGAGTGAGCTGAGCTCATGATGTGGTACAACAGCTTGGACCCTGGCTTCAAAGCCGTAGAACGACGGGACGGACCCTCAAAGGGTTAACCCTTAAACAGTCCAAATAGATCGATGTTCAAATCCGTAGTGCTCCAAAAGTAGATCTGTTTTTTTTTAACATTTTCAAATATAACAAAAAAAGTAGATAAAAGATTTTTTTACACATTTTCAAATGTAAAAAAAAAAAATGTACATTTTTTACATTCAAATGTTGAAGAAATGTATATATACGTTTGGACCGTTTAAGGGTTAAACCTTAAAAGTTAAAATGGCTAAGTAAGTTGACTGTAAAAAGTAGTTACAATAAGAGGAGATATACTAGGAATGAGGTAAACTGAGTTACTTACATAGTCTGAGGGAGTGGTCGGTGGATGAGTGCTACAAGAATGCACCTATAAAATTTATAATTTGACACTTTCTCTTGTCTGCTATCGCTAAAGAAAAATGTGTACCTCTAGGGATAACTGTAGAAAAACACTTCTTTCCTATGCCAAGACTCATACAGTGTAGTTCTCTATCTATATATCTACATAGATATCTATCTCAAAAAAAAAAAAAAAAAAAAAAAATGCTCGCCCTTCAACGCTTGAAGGTCCACAGGGTTTTGGCGAGTCATCATTATTCCATACACAGTACAGTATAACTATTTACAAGCATTTACAATGTATTAAGTATTATAAGTAATATAGAGATGATTTAAAGTGAGTATACGAGAGGATGTGTAGGTTAGATGCAAATACTACATCATTTTATATAAAGGACTTTAGCTTCCATGGGCTTTGGTATCTGCAGGAGGTCCTGGAACCAGTCCTCTCTAATAGAGGGATGACTGTACCCTCAGATGGAGAAAGGGACTGGTTTGAAATCTAACCACCAACATTCAGCATAGTCACACTTAACCCTTTGAGTGGCTGTCATGTAGAACTTTCGTTGAGGCCAGGGTCCCTTGCATAGTTCTAAGTCATTAGCTCGGCTCACTCAGATATGCTGTGAGTGGTAAATTTTGGCCTAGATATGAGAGAAAGGGCTAATAACCCCTTCTGTATAAATTACTAAATTTAAAAAGAGAAACTTTTGTTTTTCTTTTTGGGCCACCCTGCCTCGGTGGGATACGGCTGGTTTGATGGAAAAAAAAAAGAATGAGTTGGTATGGTATGTGCACAAAAAAATTCTGCCCCATATGGTGCATGAAAGGAAAAGCAAACCTGACCATGTGTTTGGTTTAAAATAGTGAAGGAGATGTTTTATAGGATGGTCTTTATGGTTTTATTGGCAGTTAGAATCATTTGATAGAAAAGAAGATATGCTACTGAAATAAAGATGATTTTGGTTTGTTTCAGGATAGGATGTAGCTTGAAATTGGGCTCAAAGTAGCAGAAATGTTAATTTTTACCTATTTTTCTTGGACTGGTAAGGTCCCCCTACACCCCTGATCTGTTTTATGGGTTTTAAATGGGTCTGATTCAATTATTGGGATGCCATAACCTATGACCAAGCATTCCTGGTTATATTTTATTCAGGAAATTGTAAATCTTCTATTTTGTGTGATTATGAATTCATGATGGAAGGTAAGTGAAATATAGGAGACTCCTAGGGATGTAATTAGTGAACTGAGGAAATAATTTAGTTCCAGGGATGTCTGCATTGTTTATTTTCCTCTATTTTTAAACTCTTTGAGGGTCGACAGACCCTCTCCTAGACTCGTTCTCAGGGTCGGCCAAATTAAAAAAAAAAAAAATTCTTATGAAAAGATAGAGAATCTTTTCCCGATCATAATGACACCAAAAGTATGAAATTGATGGAAAACTTAGGGAATTATGCTTGTGAAGTTAGCGGTCTCGGCGATGTTGCCCACTTTGAGCCTCATTTTCGGCCAATTCCACTGTACTAGTCGACAAAAAACATGAATATTTCGCTAGAACTCCATTTTTTCTATCGAATGAATGCAAGAAACCACCCATTTACCAATTTCAGCTATCCAGTACAGTGGTCAGAATTTAGCAATTTTGCCAATTTCACACAAATTTCAAAAGATGCCAATTTCTGAATAGGGTCCAGAATAAATAAGAAAGACATTCCTGGCACTAAAATGACATTTCCTCTGTTCATTAGTCACGTCTCAAGGCCCCTCTTACATTCTTTTGCTTTCCACTTCGAATTTTTATTCTCACAAAAAATAGATTTACTGTTATGCAGACTACTGCATTAGTGTAAAAAATGGTATAAATAATATTGGCGCACTTGCGAAAGAATATTAGACTCGCCAGTTGACATCTATTGAACGCTTGGCATGATTTGTTTACTTTTAGAACTTTGGTAAAAATCGAACATTTCTGCTACTTTGAGCTCAATTTCAAGGTACTTTTCATTGTAAAACCAGTCAAAATCATCTCAATTTCTGTAATATGTCTTCCATTCTATAAAATGAGACCATGAAAACTAGAATACAACACTAAATACCATACGAAAATACAGTGCAAACTCGCTGTTTTATTCCAAGAAAACGGTCATTTTTTTTTTCTCTTATGCACTGTGTGCTGCAGGATTTTTTTTATACTGTGCACACTGACCACATAGACCCATTCTTTCATATGTAGGTCTACCAGCTTTCTCCCACTAGATTTGAGGGCGCTAGAATTTAGGCATACTAGTACGTCAAAAACCCTGGGTCGTAAGCCGTACTGGTACGGCCGAAACCCTCAAAGGGTTAAACTGATATTTTTTAATTGTGTAAAATTGGCAAAATGACTTGTGTGCATTTTATAGGGTAGTTGTAAGAGTTGAATTTGTGGTTTCTTGTGCTAGGATAAAGTGCACTAGATCGTCAATGCATAAGTTGTGCCAAGACTGCTAACTTTGTGCCTGCGTAATAATGCTCATTTTCCATTAAATTTCATAATTTTGGTTTCATTACCTTCAAAAAGATTCTCTACCTTTTCAGATTTTTTTTTGGTTTTAAGGTGGATGCTGGGAGCAGTATTTTTTGGGGGTCTGGATATTGAAAGGGTTAACAAATTTAGACCATGAAATTGGAAAATTAACAATAAAATCTTTGTTGAAGCTTTTACTTTTCTTTTGGGAGGGGGTGGGTGTTGCTTGTGCTTAAGGGGCTCCCTTTCCATAATATAAAGGTTTGAACACATACTCTTGCTTAAAACAGTGAAAGCAGGTTAAAAAATTTAACAAAATCTTATAAGGAAATCAAAGACCCTCGGTGGAATCGCGCTACACTAATTTACTTTCTTGGTTTTTGTGGGTTACTAACCACCTTGAGATAATCTGAGTAAAATCTGCACAACTTACAACTTTCAAACTTGTCAAACGTGTGATCTTGCTAATAATTTTTCTTTAAAACAGGGTCGTGCTTGTAAAATTGTGGAAATGTCGACCTCAAAAACAGGCAAACATGGACATGCTAAAGTTCACTTGGTTGGAATTGACCTTTTCACTGGTAAGAAATATGAAGATATTTGTCCCTCCACCCATAACATGGATGTTCCTGTGGTGAAACGTGCAGACTACCAGGTGAGTACTGACATAAAATTTGTGAAGAATATATTTGTTGACCTGTTCTTTACTTTAATCTCCACTGTTGCAAATGTATGGAATAGGTGGTAGGTTGCCTAAAGGAGTAAAGAGCTTTCATGTGGATAATGAGGCTCGGGTTAGTGTATGGATGCGGAGGTAGATGTATATAGATAAAAATAGAGATGTATACATGGAGAGAATGTATAGAGAGAGAGGAGAGCAAGGGACCCTCCTTGGCTTGCTACAAGAACTGTCAAAGCTGTCAGTGGTGACAATACAGCAGGTGTATTTCCTTCTTAAATTGCTTGACCAAGAAAAGGCTGTGGGCCCAGACAAGTTGAGCCCAAGATTGCTGGGATGTGCAGACCAGCTAGCAGCACCTCTAATTTGCATCTTTCAGCACTGCCTAGTATGGTGTAAATGGTCTTCTCTGTGGAAAGAGGCAAATGTAGTCTCTGTTCACAAAAAGAAGAGCAGAGCAGAAATCAGCAACTACAGACAAGTGTCACTGCTGTCAATCACTGGCAAGATCCTTGAGACCGTAATCTCAAGACAAATGACAGTGGTTTTTTTTTTTTTTTTTTAACTACTACTAACTACTTTGTGACTGTCAATTTGGCTTTAGGAAAGGTTACTCTGCTGCTAATCTGTGGTTAAAAGTCAGCTTTGTGGTAGCACTGGACATTGCTGGTGCTTTTGACTGGGTGTGGCACCAGGGCTTCTTAGCAAAACTGCAAGCTCTGGGAATTGCAGGCTCTACACTGTCTCCTCAGTGATTATCTTCATGGTGGATCTCTAAGGGTAGTTCCACAAGGAAGCGTGCTGGGACCATTGTTATGGAATGTCTACTTCAGTGACCTTCATCTCATCCCAGAATCCCATGCATATGCAGACAACTGTACACTGACATTCACTTATCCAAGAGAAGAAATGCCAATTGCTCTAAGCTACATCAATCACCAGCTAAGAGCTATATCAGCTTGGGGAAATAGATGGCAAGTAACATGTGCACCTGAGAAAACACAAATGATGGTCTCTAGGCACAATGGTGGTAATGCCGGTGCAGTAGTAAGGATTAATGGGAGGGTGTTGGCACCTGGGGAAGAAGCTGATATCCTTGAGGTGAAATTTGACTCCCAACTGACCATGAAGAAGCCAGGAAGCTTGCAGCACTTAGCTGTATCTTGCATCTGCTTGACAGTAGGGGTTGGGAGATTCTGTATGAGGCACAAGTACGCTCACACCTTGAGTATGTTCCACTTTCTTGGTTTGCCTGCCTTCCACTCTCATCTGCGACTGCTTGACAGAGTAGAGAACAGAGCAAGATGTCTCGTCTCTCGCCTGCACCAGTCCTGGATAATGTCATTCCAGTAGAGTAGAGCCTTCAACAGAGGAGGAATGTGTGGCCTTACTGTTATGTACAAGGTCAATATTGTCTAAGTACCACACTTGGGTCCACTTCGAGGACAGCGTGAAGCAAGCTTCTATACCACAAGACTGGCAGAAAACAGCAACTTCACTCTGGCAGTACTCTTCTTCAGAACATCACTTTGAGATCATTTATCCCCAGGATGACTCGAGTATGGAATACATTCGTACAGCATTATGATGTCAACGAGATAGTTGATCAAATGAAAATGCTGGCCCACAGATGGCTCCAACTTCATCCTGTTCCCTACTTGTATGTCTCGTAATGAGTTGATGTAGGTAACAACAACTCTTAGCTAGTCAATAAAGTTAGGAATCCTTAACCTAGCCTTGTCAAACCCTGTGTAAAAAAAAATGTATAGAGGAGAGAGATGAGATGTATAGAGGAGAGAGAGAGAATGTATAGAGAGGAGAGAGAGAATGTATAGAGAGGAGAGAGAGAGAATGTATAGAGAGGAGAGAGAGAGAGAATGTATAGAGAGGAGAGAGAGAATGTATAGAGAGGAGAGAGAGAATGTATAGAGAGGAGAGAGAGAATGTATAGAGAGAGAGAGAGAGAGAGAATGTATAGAGGAGAGAGAGAGAGAATGTATAGAGAGGAGAGAGAGAGAGAATGTATAGAGAGGAGAGAGAGAGAGAGAATGTATAGAGAGGAGAGAGAGAGAGAGAATGTATAGAGAGGGGGGGAAAAAGGAATTATGGAGGGGGGAGAAAGTTTTAAAAGGGAGGAAAAATGTATAGAGGGAGAGAAAAAATGTATGAGAGGGGGAAAGAAAAAGTATAAAAGAGGCGAGAAAAAGGAATGTAAGAGAGGCGAGAGAATGATGGGAGAGGCGGAAAAGAAATGTATAGAGAGGAGAGAGAATGTTATAGAGAGAGAAAAAGTAAAAGAAAAAATTATTTTAAAAGAAAAAAATTATTTAAAAAAAAATTTTAAATAAAAAAAAATTTATTTTTATAGGGGGAAAAGAAGAAAATTTGGTAGTATAGGGGGAAAGGGGAGAGAATGAAATTTTATGGGAGAGGAGAGAGGATGTATGTTTTTGAGAGGAGAGAGAATGTGTTTTATAGAGGGGGAAAAGAGAAGGGTGTGTATAGGGGGAGAGAGAGAGAGAGAGAATTTTATAGAGAGGAGAGAGAGAGAATGTATGTATAGAGGGGGAAAAGGAGAAATGTATAGAGAGGAGAGAGGGGGAAAAATTTTAGGGTTAGAGAGGGAGGGGAGAGAATGTATGTATAGAGAGGAGGGGAAGAATGTATGTATAGAGGGGGAGAGGGGAGGAATGTATGTATAGAGGGGAGGGAGAGAGAGAATGTATGTTTTGAGTGGAGAGAGAGAAAAATGTATGTATAGAGTGGAGAAGAGAGAATGAATGTATAGAGGGAAGAGAAGGGTATGTTTTTGGGAGTGGAAAAAGAGAGGAAAAATGTATTTTAAAAAAGTGGTTGGGAGAAAGAGAGGAATGTATGTATGAGTGGGGGAGAGAGAGAATGTAGGTATAGAGGGAGAGAGGAGAGAATGTATGTTTTGAGGGGAAAGGGGGAGAGAATGTTGTATAGAGAGGAGGGGAGGGGAAAATGTTTTGGTATAGAGTGGAGGAGAGGGGAGAATGTTGTATAGGTGGAGAAAAAGAGAGAGAAATGTATGTATAGAGTGGAGAGAGGAGAGAATGTATGTTTTAGAAGGTGGAGGAGAGGAGGAAAATGTATTTTATAGAGTGGAGAGGGGAGAGAAAAATGTATGTATAGAGTGGAGAGAGAGAGGAATGTATGTATAAAAAGTGGAGGGGAGGGGGGGAGAATGTTGTTAGAGGGGGAGGAAAAGAGAGAATGTATGTATAGGTGGAGAGAGAGGAGAATGTATGTATAGAGTGGAGAGGAGAGAAAAAGTATGTTTAGAGGGGAAAGAGAGGAGAGAGTTTGTATGTATAGAGTGGAGGAGAGGGGAGAGAATGTTTTGTATGATGGGGGGGAGAGAGAGAGAAAGTTTTATTTTATAGAGTGGAGAGAGGAGAGAAAAAATGTATGTATAGGTGGGAGGAGAGAGAGAATGTATTGAGGGAGGGAGAGAGAGGGGAATTTGGGGAAGAGAGGATTTTTGAAGGAGAGAGAAATGATGAGAGGAGGAGAGAGAGAGATGTTAGGGGGGAAAGGGGGTTTGAAGGGGAGAGAGAATGATAGAGAGGAGGAGAGAGGAGAATGTATAGGAGGAGGAGAGAGAGGGAATGTATGAGGGAGGAGAGAGAGAATGTATAGAGGGAGTTGAGAGGAAAAATGTTAGGAGGAGGAGAGAGAGAGAATGTATAGAGAGGAGGGAGAGAGAGAGAAGTTAAGGAGGGAGGAGAAAAAATTTTGGAGGGTAGAGAGAGGATTTTGAGAGGGGAGGAAAATGTATAGAGAGGAGTGAGAGAGAGAGAATGTATAGAGAGGAGTGAGAGAGAGAGAATGTATAGAGAGGAGTGAGAGAGAGAGAATGTATAGAGAGGAGTGAGAGAGAGAGAATGTATAGAGAGGTGGAGAGGAAAAGAAAAAAAAAATGTATGAGAGGAGTGAGAGAGAGAGAATGTATAGAGAGGAGAGGGGAAGAGAGAGGGGAAATTTGAGAGAGAGGGGAAGGAAGTTAGAGAGGAGAAAGAGAATTTAAGAGGAGAGAGAGAAATGTATAGAGGAGAGAGGGGGAGAATGTATAGAGAGGAGTGAGGAGGAGAATGTAAAAGGAGGAGAGAGAGAGAAGTATGAGAGGAGGGAGGAGAATGTTAGAGAGGAGTGAGAGAGAGAATGTATAGAGGGAGTGAGAGAGAGAGAATGTAAGAGAGGAGTGAGAGGAAGGATAGAGGGGGGAGAGAGAAATGATAGGGGGGGAGGGAGAGAGAGAATGTATAGAGAGGAGGAGAGAGAGAAGTATAGAGGGAGGAGGAGAGAGAAAATGTTTTTTGAGAGGGGGAAGGAGAGGAAGAAAGGGGAAGATAGAGGGGAGGAGGAGAGAAAATGTATAGAGAGGGAGAGAGAGAGAATGTATAGAAGGAGGAGAGAGAATGTATGAGAGGAGGAGAGGAGAGAATTATGAGAGGAGAGAAAAAGAGGAAGGAGAATGTTAGAGGGAGAGAAGGAAGGGGGAGAGAGAGAAGGGATAGAGAGGGAGAGAGAAGGGATAGAGGAGGAGAGGAAGAGGGGAAGGAAGAGAGGAGAAGTGAGAGGGAGAGGAGAAAATGAAAGGGAGGAGAGAGAGGAGAAGTATAGAGAGGAGAGAGAGAGAAAAAATTATAGGGAGAGAGAGAGAGAATGTATAGAGAGGAGGAGAAAAGGAGAATGTATAGAGAGGAGGGGAGAGGGAAATGTTAGAGAGGAGGGGAGAGAAGTTATAGAGAGGGGAGAGAATGTATAAGAGGGAGGGGAGAGAATGTATAGAGGGAGAGAAGAGAAAATGATAGAGGGAGAGAGAAATGATAGAGGGGGGAGAAAAAGGAGAGAGGAAGAGGAGAATGATGAGAGGAGGGAGAGAATGATAGAGGGAGAGAGAGAGAGAAAGGAGAGGAGGGGGAGAGAATGTTAGGGAAGGAGAGAGAAAA